AAGGGCAAGAAGGGCAAGAAGACTGAGGAGCCTGAGCTCGACGCCCACGGCAACCCCATCAAGGACGATGATGCCCCCGCGACTTCAGGCGCAAAGCTCGACGAGGTGAAGCGTCTCGCCGAGCAGATGGACAAGCACGGTATCTCTGACCGTGTCACCACCGGTGTTCTCGCCTCTACTCAAACCAGCAAGGACGTCAAGATCACCAGTACCTCTCTGGTCTTCCACGGTCGAGTCCTTATCACCGATTCCACTCTAGAACTCACCTACGGTCGACGATACGGTCTTCTCGGTGAGAACGGTTGCGGAAAGTCTACTTTCCTCAAGGCCATCGCCGCCCGCGAGTACCCCATTCCTGAGCATCTCGATCTCTACCTTCTCAACGAGGGTGCTCCTCCCAGTGACCTCGGTGCCCTTGAGTGGGTCGTCCGAGAGGCTGAGCTGGAGCTGGAGCGTCTCGACCACCAGGCTGAGAAGCTTCTCGAGGACGAGGGCCCTGAGAGCCCTGTTCTCCTCGATCTCTACGAGGTGAGTTAACCTACAAAAGTGTCAACGTACCAAACTAACATTTTACAGCACATGGACAAGCTTGATCCCTCAACCTTCGCTACTCGTGCTTCCCTTATCCTGACTGGTCTCGGTTTCAACAAGAAGACCATCCACAAGAAGACCAAGGACATGTCTGGTGGTTGGCGTATGCGTGTCGCCCTTGCCAAGGCCCTCTTCGTCAAGCCCTCCGTTCTCCTTCTCGATGATCCCACTGCCCATTTGGATTTGGAGGCCTGTGTGTGGCTCGAGGAGTACCTCAAGAAGTGGGAGCGAACTCTCGTCCTCGTCTCCCACTCTATGGATTTCCTCAACGGTGTCTGCTCCAACATGATTGACATGCGAGGCAAGCAGCTCGTCTACTATGGTGGTAACTACGACTCTTACAGCAAGACTCGAACCGAGAATGAGACCAACCAGATGAAGGCCTACCAGAAGCAGCAGGATGAAATTGTTCACATCAAGAAGTTCATTGCCAGCGCTGGTACATATGCCAACTTGGTCCGACAGGCCAAGTCCCGACAGAAGATTCTCGACAAGATGGAGGCCGATGGTTTCATCCAGCCCGTCGAGCAGGACCGTGTCTTCACTTTCCGTTTCGCCGATGTTGATAAGCTCCCCCCTCCCGTTCTGTCATTCGATAACGTCACCTTCTCTTACTCTGGTAAGCCTGAGGACGATCTGTACCGCAACCTCGACCTTGGTTTCGATATGGACTCCCGAACTGCCCTTGTCGGCCCCAACGGTGTGGGCAAGTCTACTCTGCTCCGTCTCATGACTGGCAAGCTTTCTCCCACAGGCGGTGTCGTTACCCGACACACTCACTTGAAGCTTGGTCTCTACTCTCAGCACAGTTCCGAGCAGCTTGACTTGACAAAGTCTGCTCTCGACTTCGTTCGCGACAAGTACAGTGAGAAGTCTCAGGATTACCAGTACTGGCGTCAGCAGCTCGGCAAATACGGTCTCAGCGGTGACTCCCAGACTGCCCTGATGGGTACTCTGTCTGAGGGTCAGAAGAGTCGTATCGTGTTTGCCCTGTTGGCCATTGAGAGCCCCAACATGTTGCTTCTTGACGAGCCTACCAACGGTCTGGATATTCCTACCATCGACAGTTTGGCAGATGCCATCAACGCCTTCAGCGGAGGTGTTATCGTTGTTTCTCACGATTTCCGGTAAGCACCAATAAATATTATTATAATGAATGATTGCTAACGGCAATAGATTGCTCGACAAGATCGCCAAGCAGATTCTCGTCTGCGAGAACCAGACTATCCGCACATGGGACGGTTCCATCTCCGAGTACAAGAACTACCTCCGAAAGAAGATGATCAGCGCCGGAGCAGTCTAAGGCGAAAAAGTTATTACGAATTTGATTTTAATTGGCACGACGAATGCATGAAAGGAAATTGACTATAGAGGATATTGAATCCACAAAAAGTTGATGAGAGTGCTATTGGCAATCATGTGGGTATTTTCATGGGTTTAAAGCGGCGGCGGCGCGGGTGGCTAGACCATCAGGATACTTGATACCTTATGATGGAATGAGACGGCCACGACGAACGACGCTACAGGACGCATGGGCATGGCCTCAGTAGAGAGGCCCGGAAGCGTCGAATATGTGGAAATGTTCACGATAGATTTTCTTTTTCATTAGGCCTGGCTGTTTAAGGCTTTGAGTACGAATAAATGGATTCCATAATAATTACTCGCAATTCTGTGATTTGTATGCTGAAATTATAATTCGAAGATGTGTGCTGATTGTGATTGGAGACTCGGCAAGACTCGAGGCCAACGTAAGGCTGTGAATAACGCATGGGGGTAAAGTTGTAGTAGCGAGGCTAATATTTATGGTGTTGATAATAAATTTATTTGCAATGTTTGTGTTCATTATCAAGGCAGGGCTGTTCAAGTCTGTTTTTTTCACATCATGCTCCGGCATTATCTGTCCACTTATTGGTGTTCTTCAGACATGATCATCAAGGCTGAGAATGATCGAATCTTACCGAAACTCAGGTCATGATACTAAACCTAATCAAATATTTACTAAATTTTGCTAAAATATCTAGACTTGTCCTAAACTTATGTGTAGTCTATCCTAAACTGTTCTAAACGTGCCTTATGTAACTATTCTTCTCACTTACCCAGGCTCAAGGACTTGAGCTTCAGCCTTACAACGCTTGTCTCACCTTCAGTTGTCGTCGAATAAACAAGTTTACACCGTTCGACTCTTCTCTCTCACCATTAGATCAATGCAAATATGCGTTTTCCTATTATAGTGAATGATGTGGTCATCCAAGGCCTACTATTACTTGGTACATTCCCCTCCTCTACCCTACACAAAATGACAGACATATCATCTTGAAGCGATCTCCGGAACCCATCCCCGCTGCCGGTGACTGGGGATGGGCTGACGGGGAACCCAAAACGGGGTTAACGCTGTAGAGCTTAGCGTTGAGTCAGACCCACATTGGACGGGGGCCAACGGGACAGGGGAACGAGACTTGGGACCTGAAAAAATAGAGTGAGAAACGAGTCTGACGCGGAATCTGAGTGAACATCGTGTTCGCGTGTGCCTTGATTTGGATGGAGCTGTATTCACGCACACACGCACTTGAATTTTGCCGTGATTACTATGAGGGTTTTTAGACAACAGCCAGATCAACGCATCTGATGCAGCCAGACACTGTCGCTTTCAGTGACTCAACACCCAGCAGGGCTTAGATACTGACTGGTAACCCCAAATTCACATTGAACCTATCGCCAATTCCTCTTTAGGGAATCGTGCCTCGGACGGGTCGGTGATACACAATTACAAAAATAATCGCTGTGATTGCTTCACCGTTGACTCGATCTTGTTGTGCAAGCAAATCTCATTTCAGTGGTGGTATTTTAGCACGTCAAACCCCCTAGAACCCCCCCGTTGGTGCAGCTCCTCGATTCCATCGCCGTCCCTCGATCAGCTTCTGCATCACCTCCTCTTGTCTCTTCTCTTCCTGGTTGTCTATCTCTCTCTCCCGCCTGTGTCAATCAATAGGCTTTGTTTTCTCCACTGCCGCCCACACCACCGCCGTCGTCATTGTTCATCACAGAATATGCCCTGATTAATGCAGACAGACGCTGTAATTATCCTCAGCAAGTATCCGTATTTTTACTTGAACCGTTGGATCACCATAAACTCGGCTCGCCTGGGCTTACCTTGCTTGAGTGTTGATTGACTGGGCTGGGGCTGTCACTCCAGCTCCCGCCATCACCACCTCATTTTGGTTAACCTCCAGCTCTAGAACAAACTCCACTCCACTTTGTTGTTCCCCGATCCTTCTGATTCTCTCTTACTGTTCATATTGTCATAATCCTTTCCCCCGCGGCTGTTCTTACACTTTACTGTGGCTTTGTTCGTCAATCCATTGGCCCTTTACCCCCCTTTACAACCCCCATATCTCTCAAGACTCTCAGTAAACATCCAAACTTCAGTATAGTAACCCTGTCTCGCATCCCCTTCCCCCATCTCGACTGCCGCTTGCATCGCTGTATCCCAGCGCCACGCTACCAACACCTCCACACCAAAACACTTTGCCCCCCCAGCCAGGGCATCCTCTTTCGACTTGCCTTGGATTGGGGCTCAACCTAGACCTGACATTGTCGCGATCCATCACTGTCCATCGTTTTCATCCCACACGTACCTCTGTCGCAGTTCGCTGCATCACCGATCGCGACTTGCGAATCGCATCGCATCGCAACTCAGCCTGCAACCCAGCGCAACGCAACGCAACGTAACGATTCCTCACACAGCCTCGCGCGCGCATCGCGAAACTCTGTTTGATCGACTGCGCATCTTGTACCGGACACATTAACCCCCCCTCAGAAATCTGTCGTCGCATCGTTGCTTGTCGAGCACATGGGTTCTCAAGCTTGATTACCACCGGCCGTCCGACTATAACACATTCCCTGCTCTCTCGGGTGTTTAGCTTTGTTCTGTCTGCCATTCAGGCGCTAGACCATCAATCACCATGGATCAGAACGGCTATAACTCCTCGGTGCTGCAGCGGCCACCACAAAGAGAAGATGGTGGAGATGACGACCGAGACTCCCGTCCGCATCACCATCATCATCACCACCATCATCACCATCACCACAACAATAGGCGCGACGGTGACTCAGCTGGACCTGGGCCTATAGTGGGAGAAACGGCGACAGCCTCATCGAATGCAGGCGGTGCGAATGTGCATCAGCACTCCACCTTTAGTCTGCGCTCACCCAAGTCAGAATACCGTCCTCCTCCCTTTACATCTCCCAACGGCCATAGCCATAGTCATAGCCATAGCCACAGCCATCAAAACACTCCAAGTGCCGGCCATTCCCTTCAATCCCCGCCTCGTCCAGCATTGCCCAATCCCTACATGTCATCGTCCACGGGCGCACCCGGCGGCCCCGTCGCTCCATCACTTCCACCTCCTGTAGGCCTCAACTCATCATCACCTGGATCGTCAGCTGCAGGACTTCATCAGCAGCAGCATCATCGTCAACCTCCAGCACCACCGCCTGCTGGTCCTCCGCCCGTGTCGCCGCTGCACCCTCCTGTTGCATACTATCCTCCCGGGTCGAACCACGACATTTATATACCGCGAGAAACCAAACCTGCATCACGAGGTTTTTACGACCCTACAACTGATACAACAAAGGAACGTCGAGTTTCTGACGCGGCGACGTCTGGAGCCTCCTGGCACAACGCCAACGCCAACGCCAACGCGCCCCCGGTTGGCACTCCAAAGGTAAGGGGGGCAAATCCACTCTTTTTTGTCTTTGACTCTCGTCTCGTCTCGCCCGGACTCGATTTGATTGATTGCACCCGACGTCCCTTGATTTTCCTCTTCCCCATCATCATCATCCTTCAATTCTGTCTTGATCATCGAGATCTTCACCCATCACGTCCAGGTCATCAATGCCTGTTCCCTTCCCTCACTCTTATCAAGCTTAATTTCCCATCAAACTGTCACTATCGCAACACCATTTAATTTCAGCATCACCCTTAACTCCGTCGCACAACCTCCTTCTGCCCCGACCAAGACCTAAACAACCACAAAGCTTGCTGACGTGGAGCTAATTTTTCTCTTCTTACACAACAGACTCACGATCCGTACCCTTATTCGCAATCTGCCGAACAAAGTACTCCTTCATATTACAACGGCTCTTACACGTCTCCACGAGGTCCATCATATAGTCGGCCGCGAAGTCCAGCATCGCATTCGCATCAGAACCCTCCAGCTGGTTCTCTCAGCCCTCCGGGGCGACAACCTCTACTCGCTTCTCCAAGTGCGAGACATGGTGCTACAGCCAACATGACTTCTACTACTAATGGGGCTTCTGCCCTTACACCTTACAAGTCTGATCTCGCAGCTCCATCACCTCCAAAGCCGGCATCGGCAAGCGTAGGTGCTAACCAGTATACAGAATATTCATTTGTACTAATACCATTACAGACATCGAGGGCAAACCCAATGTCTTTTGACAGCATCCTCTCCAGCTCTGAGCCCGCTCGAAAACCCAAAGAACAATCGCCTCTGATTTCACGTGAAGCCGAAGTGGAAATCAAGCAAGAGCGAGATTCCAAACGTGACCGAGAACCGAAGCGCGACTCGCGGGAACCCAAACAGACAAAACGCTCCCTAGAACCCGAAGCGGATCACGACACAGAGGTTGAAAAAGATGTCGAGACTGAGCCCGAACCGTTTCCTGGTAGAGACAAAGAAAGAGACCCCCCTGCCAAGAAACGAGGAGGCCGAAAGTCAACAAAAGGCCGTGCTTCTGATATTCGAGATGCCGCTACGCCCAAGAATGGTCGCAGATTATCGATTAAGAAGGAATCGCCAACACCTCGACTTCCCGCCAAGCGACAAGCAAATGGCCTGCCCAAGCCAAAGACTTGGTCAGCAGAGATGGAGAAGAAGATTCAGAACGCCGAGACACAGATTGACAACAGGGCTTCAAATCTGGAACCCGATGAATTTGATCAGCAGCAATACAAGGAGCGAGCTCAGAAGCGACGACGGGTAATGGATCAACTCGACCTGGAACACGGTCTCTCCCGGCGTACGGCTTTTGCGACTTCAACCGGCAAGAAGCTCGTACTCCACGCAGAGCTTGGTAAACGACGCTACGACGATGTGTTTTACGACGAAGCGCTACATGAGGTCCGTGAACAAGAAGTTTACGCCGAAAAGGAGCGTAAGAAGGATATGCAACGCAAGCGACGTCGTGAGAAGTCAATGGCTGTTACCATGGAGCAGAAAGAAGCAGCTCTAGCTCGTGCCGAGGCTGCTGAAGACGAAACCGAACGGCAGAAACATCTTCGAGATGCTGAACGCGCCAGTAAGAAGGCACAGCAGACGAAACTCATTCTCCAGAAGGGTATAAAGGGTCCTGCCCGTAACTTGGAGCTTAACCTGGAGGGTGGCACCATGTCTTCATTCCAGGCTTCTGATGTGGAATCTGGGGAAGCCGGCACGCCATCTAGCAAGCGAAAGGGCAAGGGCCGTAGCGGACCTCGTCTCAAAAAGTCCAAGGAACAAAAGCAAGCCGAAAAGGATTCTGCCGAAGCCGCTCAAGCCGCTCTTGATGCCGGAGAGGAACTACCAACCAAAGAAGAGAACCGCGTTCGAATCAAGATCAAGAAAACCAAGAAGGATCCTTCTGCTGAGACAGAGAAAGACAAGGACGACGGCGATAAGACCGAAGACGAGCCTGTCGAGAAGAAAAGCAAGAAGAGCAAAGACAAAGACAAGGAGAAAGTCGATGACATCCCCGACAACGAGAAACGGTTCATGTCCAAGGGCTACAACCAAATTTACGACCAGATTTGGCGAGACATGGCTCGTAAAGATGTCAACAAGACCTTCAAGCTTGCCGTGGACTCTTATGCCACGAAAGCCTCAAATCTTAAAAAGACAGCCATCCTGGCATCGAAGGAAGCAAAGCGCTGGCAATTGCGGACAAACAAGGGTACCAAAGATCTCCAAGCTCGAGCAAAGCGTGTTATGCGTGACATGATGGGCTTTTGGAAGCGTAACGAGCGAGAAGAACGAGATCTCCGCAAGGCTGCTGAGAAGCAGGAGATCGAGAATGCCCGAAAAGAAGAAGCTGACCGTGAAGCCGCCCGTCAAAAGAGAAAGCTTAACTTCCTTATCTCGCAGACTGAGCTGTACTCTCACTTCATCGGCAAGAAGATTAAGACTGATGAAGTTGAACGAAGTACCGACAACCCGGATGTCGCCAAGGATGCCCATCAGATTGACCAGCAGAAACTCGACATCGATGAACCGACAGGACCAGTCACTGGTAAGGTTACCAACTTTGAGAACCTTGACTTTGAGGAGGGCAGCGAAGAGGCTCTCCGTGCTGCTGCTATGGCCAACGCTCAGAATGCCATCGCCGAGGCCCAGAAGAAGGCCCGTGACTTCAACAACCAGGGTCTTGACATGGATGAAGAGGGCGAGATGAACTTCCAGAACCCTACGGGTTTGGGCGATGTTGAGATCGAACAGCCGAAGCTCATCAATGCCCAACTCAAGGAATACCAACTCAAGGGTCTCAACTGGCTTGTCAATTTATACGAGCAGGGTATCAACGGTATTTTGGCAGACGAAATGGGTCTCGGAAAGA